CAGACAACATACATGATATATGGGTCAACAACCCATCACGTTTTCATCTGTTGAACCATACCAAACAATTTCAACATCAACCTCTATGATGAAGCATCTCATCATGATACATGTTTTGACAAACAAAATAATCGCAAGGAAAGAAATACATATGCAGCATTTTAACAACTAGTTTAACACAACTCATAAAGGAAAACAGAAAGACAATTAAAACAAGAAGCAAAACAAATATTAGAAAGGGCAAAAACAAGAGGAACATAGTCCAAATAATATCAAACCACACACCATACAATTCACTGTGACGAACAGGTAGTTTATTGTATGAACTGAGAGAAGTCGATAACATTGTGCTTTCATTGGGTACACAAATAAAAAAATAACATTAAAAGATAATCCTGATAGCAGTCCAAAGCAAATAAAATAAAGATTCTCCATTTCCACTTCTGGCACTTGATTTCTGAAAGATAAGAAAAAAAGAGAAAATAATTAGAATTTAGGTTTAAATTACAAGTATTATTAGGGAGAATGACAAATGGATAGGCAAGGTCAATGTTCTCTACAACTGTATACCTAATTAAATGAATAAGTTTTTGAGGGGACACAATTCTGTGGTTAACATGTATTCATACCATAACATTAACAGTTGTGTTACACAACTGACATGTGCACACTATTTTTTTTTTCAACTGTGATAAAATTCCTTATCTGCACCATACTAGTATTTCAAAATTCCCTTTAATGTAATGTTGTGCGAAATGAAGACACTGCAACGCCGGCAATGTGGCGACCTAGATCTGACAAACCCGCCAAATATTATAATGAGGTCACTTCATGCTTGACCCCGGAAAACCCCGCAAAGACCGCAGAAAAAGAGGCATTTTACACCAGCCGTAAAACGAGATTTGATTATTGGACATTCACAAAAACACGTACAGAGTCAAAATAACATTTATATTTTATGTTGCCACCTTCTAACGGTATCAACATATATGCGAAACACTCAGACGAAACTTTCATTACGCAGATGCAGAGCGTCGTGAATAATGTCATTCATACTGAAAAGTTTACAATATCGCAAAATTTTGATCATAATTGCCAATTAAAACTACCCACAATAAAACTATGGTGCTTACCTTTTTGAAAAATGTTTTAAATCCTTAACCTTTCGCTGATGAGTGTAGCAATTGTATAAGTAAAGAACGCACTTCAACGACGAACAATTTACCGCAACTGCAATATGGCGACCTCAACCGTCACAAAGTTCAAAGTATAAATATGTAAATGATATGTTAATGAGGCTTTGGCGATCTGACTGTGTACAGTGGTACGCGTCTCAGCAACGTGGAACGTCTTATGACGTAGCTTCGCCCCCGAGGATTGGCTCTGACCTCCAAGAAAAAAATGCGAAAAAACGAACAATCATGATAGTAACCCGCACCTTACAACACTGCGTTGGCACAAAAATAGTACAACGTTTATGTGTCTGTGGGTGTTACTGAATATTGCCGAGGAAACAAAAAACTAATCTCGCTGTTCTTCATTACAAATAAAGCCTGGAACGAGCCTGACGGTAGTATCGTACCATGGAACTATAAACCCCATTTTTTTATAGTTCCATGATCGTACTAACGTCGTGGCAGTCGTGGTGAAAAGTAGAAAAGTGAACCGGCTTACTTTCAAGAAATCGTTCGAGTTTAGCTCGAAAGTGTTGCACGCATGTGATTTAATTGCGAATTTATTGCACCATATGTTGATCTGATGGTGCGTACACTTGTAGTCATGTTGTCGGTGTGGAAGTACCGGCCGTACATCGCTCTGTTCATCGGTATCCAGGCAGTTGTTTTATTTTTATACCTACGATTCTACAGACTGGCTGATCTGACGGCAACATCGCAGATCTCTAAACGTTGGCTTCGTGTTAACGTTCGCGGTAAAGAGGTGCTGTGTATACCGACGGAAAACGAATCCATTGACTCGGAAACCTTCACTATGCTGTGCGGGGAGAATGAAAACTCTGTGATAAATAGTCATATGATGGGCAGTCAATTTGAAAATCTACAGTTATCGGATCCTTCCGACCTGGGGGCTGTTTTGGAAGGTTTTCCAAATGAATACCTTTCAATTAACAACAAGAGTGTCGATGAGGTGAGTATCTTGTTTGTGTAAAGCAGTACCTTCCATGGTACATATAGTGACAAAAAATCTCATTGCATACCCAAGAAGGGCAAAAGAGGATAGGTGGTACAGGTTACAGGAAATAAAAGACATTTTACGTTTTAACAGAAAATAAAATGAAAGTTCCATTTACAGTAAAAAATAGTTTTTTACACTTTACAGATAAAGCAAATTCCATTTTACATTTTTATAATATATTTGATACTTTGTGTTTAAGAATCAAAATTGGAAATTGCATAAGAATTACAACATTTAATGTGGAAAATGCTTTATACATTTACAAAAAGTAAGGTCTCTGTACAAATTACAGACGAATAAAATAATTGATTACATTTTACATCTTGCCCATGTCTATGAATTTACAGTTTTTATTTATTTAAACTACATTATTACGAAAATAAAAACATGCCAAACCCTAAGCCAAGTATTGTTTAATTATATATATTTTGGAATGGTCAAAATTATTCGTTTGTTTTAGTAATACCTCGTCATCGAAAAATGTGCTAAATTGGAGGTGTGCTTCAATAGAGAAAATGCAGTACATTGATGCTATTGGAGATGTACTTCTAATAGAGCAAATATGGTACACTGGTGCTATTCAGTTGGAGAAGTGCTTCCAACATGTTACCAATATACACATGATAAAACATTTGAAGATGAAAAACACTTTGTTATGAATTGCCAAGCATATAGGGCACATAGAGTGCATTTATTTAACAAAGCAGAAATTCATATTGATAATTTTAGAACCAGTAGTGAGAGTGATAAATTTATTTCCATTATGAGCAACAAACATATGTCACTTCCCATAGCTCAGTTCATTTAGACCAGTCGTAATACCAGACAGTGACTGTGTCTTGAATGAGTTGGGAGCTTTGTGTTTTCGTTGTTGTTTTTTCTTTATTTTTTTGGTTGTGTATGACCATTTTCATCTTCTCCAGAAATGTTATTATTATTATTGCAAATACAGTACACTGACTATTGAAGATACCGCAAAAGCAATTTCCAATATTTTTATTATAGTAGGATGTTATTAATAAATAATCATGTTTTGAATAGTACAGTATTCATGTAACGTATCATTGTTTGCACATTTGTGTATTCATGAATTAGAGACACGTATTATTTCAATTGTGTTGCCGTATTATCATTACGGCATTGCCGATTAATTGGGGGGGGGATTTATTGACTTTTCCATTACGTTTGTATCGCAAATCTACATCACATCGTTTTCACATGATAACAATGCATACTTATATAGTACCGAATTTGCTCTCATTTCCATTTAATAAAAGATGAAATACACCTTTTGATAAACTGTAAATTATTCAACAAAGAACAAAACATGCTATTCAACACAATTAACTCAATAAACAGTAAATTCACAAATTTTGATACTAAAGAACAATTTCAATTTATAATCAAATTTAAACACTATATTATAGTTGCATTATCATACTACCTGACATCTTTTAACAGGATTTAAACAAAATAATTAGTTATTACCTTATCAGTTATCTCATTATATTATTATTGAAACCGTATTGTATTTTCATTAACGTTATTTTGAATGTAACCAAATTAGAAAGATAAATTTTCTAAACGATTGGAATAAAACATATTTTATCTTTATATAACCTAACTTCTATGGTCACTAATGTCAAAACTATAAAATTTAGATTTTTCAACTCGTTCATAAGTATGAGATGGAGTAGAGTGTTTTTCAAAATTATGCCAGCAGGTTGTAGCTGATAATCCAGCCTAACTATTACCATACAGTGGAGATTCATTCTACAATGTATCTAGTAGCCCCCTAGCATGGTCGACTTACAATACTACCCACCCACCTCATGCCTGTGAATCAGCCAACCGTATTTCATCTATTAGATGTACATTTCTAATAGGGACGCATGTACTGTATTTGTCCATGTGAGGACTGTAAACATGTTAATTTTATTTATGTTAACTAATTTAATTCATCAACTATATCAGTACTTGTGATAAATCTATGGTATAGACTTGTTCTGCTAACTGGGAGACTTCCACACAAACTCGTAAAATTCTGCTCATTTCTAATTGTAGTATTATTAAACTGGCGCCTAATCTCACTGTTAAATACAGAATATAAAATTGCATCAGATGTTTTGTCAGGTAGAATGAGGAAAGTGTTGCCTAGTATTATTCATAGTGATTGAAAGGGTTTTCTAAAAGGATGGAATATTGGTGAAAATACGTGTTTAGTTTATGATGTATTCATTGTATTGCGTGGGTCTATTGTAAAAGAGATTCCGGGCATGCTTGTTCTGCTTGATTTTACAAAAGCGTTGGATACTCTTTCTTGGAATTTTATTGACAAAACGCTAGATTTTCTAAACTTTAGGGAACCATTTAGAAAGTGGGTTGAAATCTTTTATTCCAGTGCCTCAAGTTGCGTAATTAACAATGGTAATTTTTCTGATTTTTTTCAATTACATAGGGGGGTGCGACAGGGTGACCCTCTATCTCCATGTATTTTTATTCTTTGTGTTCCTTTGACCATAAAATACGTCACTGCTCAGACATTAGTGGGGTGACCTTATGGACACAAGAAATTTTTTTAGGTCAATACGCAGATGACACATTTACCTTTCTTGATGGTTCAGAATCGTCTCTAAAAAGTTTATTTTTGATACTTGAACAATTTGCGTACATTTCAGGTCTCCAGATAAATCACGATAAATCAAGAGTAATTTGGATAGGATCAAAACGCCACTGTGGAGAAACTATGCTTCCGCACCTAAATTTAAATTGGTCTGACAAGCCTTTTACATTATTAGGTGTACATTTTGACGTGGATTTAATTCTGTGTGAGAAAATTACTTTTGATGATAAAACCTTGCAAGTTAAGTCACTCCTGTCAAACTGGGCTTGGAGACCTTTGACATTGTGTGGCAAGAAGGTGACAGTAGTGAAGACATTAGCATTGTCGAAAATGGTACACATATTATCTGTGTTGTCTCCTATGCCAGAAAAACAGTCAAAATCTATTATGGACGCTTTTTATGAATTTATTTGGAATAAAAAACAAGACAAAATTAAAAGACTTTGTTTCTGTTGTGAATACCACAATGGCGGTTTGAGCCTAACTCATTTACCATCTTTTATCGAATCGCTTCATGTCTCCTGGGTAGATAAGCTATTATCTAGCCAATATGACGAAAGTGGCTGGAAACGGCTATTTCAAGCTTATACTTATATGGATTGCTCATGTTTTAAAGTTTTCAATCAGAAACAAGCCGCCAACTTTGCTGAAAAAAGGTTAAAGTCAAACTTATTTTGGTACCATGCTTTTCTGAGTTGGTCTAAAACAATTACATGTACAATCCCTTACTCAAAGCAATGCATTTGGTTTAACCCAGATATCTTAATTAATAAGCGAACTATTTTCTATAGAGGTTGGTACCAGAGTGGTATTGTATTTCTATCGGATGTACTGGATGATAGTGGCAATTTCCTCACCTTTAAAAACTTTCTCGGACAAATATAACATATCATCAAATCAATTTTTATTAAAGTATTTTGGTCTTATTGATGCTATTCCTGGAAATTGGTTAGTTTCCTTGAATAGCAGAGATAATGCAAATGAATCTACCCTTATCCATATTAAAAGAGCTTACTCAGAAATCGTAGAGAGAGTATATAAGTTAAACCTAAAAACTCAAACCTGTGTTGAAAAGTGGTTATTTGGCACAAATCTAAATTTTGAATATTATTTCAAACTACCTTTCATTACTACTGATGATGTATCACTCAGAAATTTTCAATACAGACTGATTAATAGAATTACCACTACTAACAAGTTTTTAAAAATACGTAATATACTTGATACTGATAAATGTACTGTAGGTACAATAAAGTAAAGCCATCTTTTGTAAATTTATGTAATTATTTAGCATACCAAAAGAAAATAGATATGTACAAAATAAGGATATACAATGTAAAATCAAAGTCTTTCAGATTATATTGGAGTTTATTAGATCAGCTATTGTGAACATATGTATCCCCCCCCCCCCATTATTTTATTTGTGTGTGAAATAACAATAAATAAATATAAAAAAAAAAGTGTAGTATTATGTTTGGTTGTCCTTTGCAGGGAAGTGAAACCAAATATTCATTCGTTGTGTAGACTGCGCTGCAGAATACAAACCAGCTATGTGCTTGTACATGTGCAATGCAAACACCACCATAGCTACATGGAGTTGCATTTTCTACAGCCTTCCAAAACAATAAACAATAAATCTGCTCACTGTGTATTGCAATCGGTATATCCTGCTGCAATTCACAAGTAAATAAAGTGACCTGCATTGATGATTCATGAAACTCATTGTCACATGTCGTGTCCTTTATACATGTAATGTGGTTTATTCTGTCGTACAAAAAAAAGCCGAAACGTACAATTATGGCTATGAAATACTTTTTGCTAAAATGGCAATTTTGAGCAATTTACCATTGGTTCCTGAAACAAAAACGTTTCATTATACTACCGGGTAGTACACATTTAACCCAAAATTGTGTTTAGTTACGCACATTTAAAGTACTTGTATGATGATAACTCCGCCCAATCTCTTGCTGCTTCACTACTTGCAATGAGAGACTGGGAAAAATAGGGCATAGTGCTGTTTCCGTGGTTCCATGGTGTGAAGTTAAACAAATAACCCGTATATAATGTCAATAGAGTCAATCAATATCTGGTTGTGCATTGTTTACTTTGCACTCACATTTTTAGACCCCGTTCCGGCGCAGTCCGAAAACGGGACTTATGTTTTGACCTCCGTGTGTCCGTGCGTGTGTGCATCCGAACCTGTATCTTAGACATGCCTGGACCAATCACAATCAAACTTCACACATACATCATACATGACATTATACATATGCACATCAATTTGCTTCACGATCTGATTTAAGATGGCCGAATTGCAGCCATTTTTGTT